TTCTTTGATTTCGGTGTCACCTCTACCTTTAATTCTGCTTCATGTAAACAGATCGCTATCTTTTTTTCCCCCAACAAGAGTTATTTGCTTCAATCGTCCCCACCCCCCTCGCAATAAAACTGTACAGTTTTTAAACACAAGATTTGCTTGCTGAGTAATTGAGAGCAAATCACTTGTGTACTGACACAGGACTGAAACAAAACCCACTCTTGCCAAGATAAATTTACCCTGCAAAATAAGATCATAAACTTGAAAGACTACATCTGTCCCCAGCTTTCTTGCCCTTTGTCCTGTTTTGGGGATTTGGTCTTGCTATTGTCTAATTGCCATTTTTTACAACTAGAGGAATAGTCACGTTCCAGTAAATTCATTCTCCCCTATTTATAAATAAGAAAAATATTAGGCAAACTTGTTGATGATAGCCTCTCAAGAATCGGAATTAAATTAATCTCACGGCAATCTTGTGGTTAGTCAGCATTTCTACGTTTCACTTTGAATTATCTATTTCTGATGTGTCTTTTGAGAGGGATATTTGTTATATTAAATACTTGACTCATAAATAATGAGTTTTACTGATTAGTTCCACATGGGGGAATAGATGAAGTAAATTAGCTTGAAAATGTTGCTTATTTTTACAAACATGATAAATTGGTGGTTATAAAACTTCAGATTCCTGGGGATTTAGAGGGTGGGGGAATATCTAGAACTCCTGCCACAAGGATCATCTGTCAAAAAAAATCCACCCTGTTTCGAATTAACTATTTAAAATTTGTAAGGCAAATACCTTCGATTAAACTGGAACTCTTTGCAGAATAGTATTAGAGTGCCAGCTAGTCTATATTTCCTTAGAGCTAGAATTTGTATAATCGTAAACGAGGAAATTGACCTTATAGTTTACCTGGGTTTACGAAACTAGCTGCAAAGTGAATTTGAGTTGCAAATTGTTCTTTCGCTCTGCATTTGGTAGCGTGATGCTCTGGAGAACCCGACCAGAGAATTCCACGCAGATTTATTCATCTTATTAATGAAGTGTGCAGAATCTATTAAGGAAGGTTTATGCTGGTCTAATTGAGCGCGGAGGAGTTAATTGCTTACATTAATGAGGACTGGAATGACTCAATCACCATGTGCCTCGGATCTCTCTGCTAAATCCTTATAAAATCATCATTCACATTTTATCCTGAAGTCAGTGCTGACACGCCTTGCGGACCACCGTAACCGTAGCAAATGCTGATTAATACAAGCATATGTTATACTCCCCAAAATCAAATTCACTACAGATTGCTCAATGTGAGCATTCAATACAGCCCTTTTAAAATCACTCAGCCCAGATCCTCACGAAACAGCCATTTCGATGTTCTTACAGTGCAATTAAACACGCCGATGTAACGTATTTTTCCTCCTTTCAAATACAGCAGTGCTTAGAATTCCCTCTGCTAGAAAACATGCATATGAGCTCCTGCTAATGTCACGTTATAAACAAGCCCGCCGAACAATTAGAAAAAAACCCGGGAGCATAAAATTATTGTATTGATGTTTACACCCTCTTGACACGAGAGTCCGAAAGCCCTAGCCTTCTTTCCACGTAATAATAGCAACCTTTTCCTCCATCCTCAGCTCCCTTTCCCCCAAGCTGCCCGGATCCAAGCATCTGAAATAAACTTCTCAAACTTCACGAGCCAGCTGTAGGCTAACGAGAGAGTGTAACTCATTCCCCTAGGCCTTGTGCCTCAAACCGGACAGGTTTCCCACCGATCTCCTGAGCACACCGATCTCTAGCTCTGTATGACCTACAATGACACTCTGTACTAGCATCTTGATCTCGTCCCTATTTAGGTTAGTGGTTTTACTCTGACTCTTCTGGGTACATGGTAAATCCGTGCACCTGCTTGGGAGTCAACAACTCTAAGCACCTTTCTTGATTTTATTTTCATCTGGCAGCTCCACGCAGCCTCAGCAGAAATCTACAAAAAGGTCTAGTTTTTATGTAGCTCCCTGTTTGACAGCCAGAAATAACAAGAACAAACGATCGAACCTCCGCTTTTGCACGAACATTTGACAGAACTTGTTTTGTTGCCTCCCAATGGGATGTAACATCAGGCTCAGTTCTGCTCTGTCTGAAAGAGGAGAATGCTCAGTGCCTGGTAACTAGAACGCGCAGAATTGCTCGCACAATCACACACATCTAAACGCGGAAGTCTACACAGGGCATTCAAGCAACTCGAGGCCGTGGGGGACTGACTAACCCCGGGTTTTGCAGACCGCCTGTTAAATGTGCCAGTCCTATCTCCATTTAAAAGCATAGTTTGAAGTGCACAGGGGAACGAGCAGCTCCGTACGGGATATGCATGTTTTTCAAAAGCAGCAAAAGATCCAAGCCCCATTTACAGGCTTTTAGACTGGTCCCCCTCACCCCGCGCCCCCAAAGACAAAAAAAAGTCCTTCTAACGACAGCAGTTCTGTCCCTTCTCTTGCACTGTCCGAGAGAGGGGGGAGGGAACACTTTGGACCGATGTAGCCAACCACAGAGACTTGGGGGGAAAAAACAATAGTTGTTGCTTTTTTATTTACCTAATCCCGATCTGTGCTCCACCGCTGGCAGAAGTTAAAAGATCCGGGGCTAAATTGGAGCTGGTAAAAAGTTGGGCTAAGTTAGTGAGTCTCGTGGCCCTTGTTGGGCTCTCTTTGCACGGCCCCCTCCCAACCCCCACTGCTCCTCCAGCCGGGTACAGACAGATCCTAGAGAGCAGAGGGAGCCAGGTGCTCCAGCGGATGGAGACTCTGTCCCTCCTCCTCCTCCTCCTCCTCCTCTTGCTGCTGCTGCTGCTGTATGTGGGTCTGAGGGCAGGCGCGCCTTGGAGAAGCCGAGCTCAGACTGGAGTGATCCCTTCCCTCCAGCCTCCTCCTTATTTCAACTCCCATCCGGACGCTGGGCATGCGCACTACGGAGGGAAAGTGTCTCGCTGGGAAGCTCCAACTTTTCAACTCAGCGGCTTGTTGCGGGGCAGCCAGATCCCAGCCCGCCCGGCTCCCAGGGCATCTCCCTGAGGCCACCCCCGCCGGGACACCCGTCGGCGAGCCGGGCTCCGAAGCCGCGCGTGGCAGGGTAGCAGCCTCGGCGCCCCACCCGGGGGAGCCTGGAGCTGCCCCTCTCTGGCAGTCCCCCGCCCCTGCTCCCCAGCGCAGCCTCTAAGCCGCTTCAGTCCTCTGTGCCCGGGACAGGACTGCCCGCTGCCCCAGAAGGGACCCATAGCTCGGCGGCAGGGCCCAGGCTCCCCTCCCCTGTGGGCAAATTCACAAGTTTGACGCCCCCTCGGGATCCACTTCTCTATCTGGATCCAGTGGATCCACACTGCCCGGAGTCCGCCTCTATGCCTCTTTGCCAAACCCCGCACAAGATCCACCCTCTCTTCCGCACCACGTACCGGTGAAGAAGCCTCTCTCGGATAAGCCCCGTTTAACCTGGGCTCAGCCTTCTCTAACCAGCGTCCTGGGCAGGATCCACTCCCCAAACTAGATCCCCCGATCCAGCCCGCCTGACTTCGCTCCATTCTCCATTGGAGAGCAACTCCCCGGAACGAGTTTTCACACCGTGTGAAAACAGCCAGGTCACTAATCCTCTCCTGCGGTTTTACCGAGTGTCAGGACCACCGAATGGCGTGCACAACATTCTCCTTTGAGCCCGGGGTCAGACAATTTAGGCAAAGCAAAGTAGCCCTTGAAAGCGAGAGAGGTTAAACGTGCTTTATAATTAATCCTAGGGCCATAACCCCCTTGCCTATTTGTTATTCCTATTCATCCATCCGTTCACACTCTTTAGGGCCGGGAAGGAGAAAATTGCCTGAGTCCATTATATGATGCCGAAGAGCAGCGAGAGTGATATAATATGTGGGCGAAGACAGATTTGTCAGGCTAACATCGTTTTGTGCTCCGGGATCAGCGTGTTATTTGCATGGCTACCTTTGTCACTGTCACCCTTACAATTACTTTGCAAGTCTCCGCAGAGACAGCTGTACTCCCGGGCTATATTGGGCGATCAAAGAAAGGATGAAAATGAAAGTTTCGGGGAAGAATATTTAAGAAAATTCAAGATTAGACACCTTTTGGGCGATCAAAGAAAGGATGAAAATGAAAGTTTCTTGGAAGAATATTCAAGAAAATTCAAGATTAGACACCTTCGCATTCCCACGTTCTCCAAAGAACCCCGCAATTTTGAGGAGCACGATGCGATCAGCCAGCCCTCAGTTATAGGAAAATAATGTTCCAGATTTTTTAAACTTCTGTCGAAAATTAATGGTCCTTCTAATGTGTAGGGGCCACAACGAGGTGGACTAAATTACATTCCATTTCGTTCCGAGCCAGCATTTTTATTCTTAGTCCTCGAGACAAAACTGTAGGAAGTGTCATGATTTACAAAGTGCTTTAAAAACACTCACCGTGGAATATTATTATTTAAAACAAGTCAGATGCTTATCTCAGTCCCCTACAACAGAATAAAATCCATCACCAAAAGGCATCTCCTTACTGGACACTTCTCTTTTTCCACATAAGAGGAACGCGCGCGCGCGTGTGTGTGTGTGAGTGAGTGTGTGTGCGCGCGCGCCTATATGTATTTTTAAAACAGAACCAAGCAAGCCTTCAGTTTGGAAATTGATCAGTTAAGCACCAAACGATAATAATAAACAAGCAAACAAACAAATAATACCAGCAGATGCTCAGACGGGGGGGAAAACTAACCTGCAACTTCCTTCCCTCTCTCCCCACAAATAAATCAATAACTGCGCTGAGGAGGGCGGGGGAAGAAGCAGCAACCTTTAAGTAAAGTTTTGCCTTAGCCAAGCTATCGCCTTTATGATAGCAAGGAGCACTTTTTTGAGGAGGAGGGAAACGGGTCATTAGTTATCTAAATGTAGCTTAAAATTAAAGTGGGTCGTGGGAATACAATT